CAGGACTTCATTTTATTCCTGAGGTTGTTGTGAGAGGAAAATACTCTCTCCATTCTAAATTGTAAACGTTTGACTTTTTTTTGCCCCAGGTGTTTGACCACTCGTCTTATTCAAAAAATTTATGTAGATATAGTCAAATTTAAGTCATTTTTGAAGAATTTTTATTAATAAACTAAACCACAACGAAAGAAGTGATATTTTACACAAATTTTTGAATAAAACGAGTGGTCAAACTTGGTGTCACAAAAGTCAAACGTCTTATAATTTGGATGGATTGAGTACTATACTATGGCTGAATAAGTTCTGGCTAAAACCAACAAACGAATATACTTTGTATCTCCAATGAGACCCTAAACAAAAGGCGAGACAGTGGCAGCCCCTCTCATCCACACAAAACACGTTTGTTTGCCATTTAAAAAGACCTTATTAAAACCCTGTTTGATCGATGCTGGAACGTACATCGGGAGTGGGGCCGAGAGTACCTCTGTTCACCAGCGCGGCAGCTATTCAGCACGAGGTTATGCATACTCACGAAAAATGCAGCATGCACGAGAACACGCACGCAAACATAAAAAAAAAAAAAAAAAAAAAAAGAAAAGAGAAACAAAATGGGAAAATGACGTGTCTGTGCTCTGATCCTGATGGTTAAAACTAGTCCCGTCCTTGACTTGAATACTTGATTTGGAACGATCATCCTTACCTTCTCTTTCTTGGTTTTGCATGACCATGACAGAAAACAAAACACGCTCCTGACCAAAATGGCTAAAACGTCACCCTCCAGACTAATACTCATCTTGTCCTGCTCATCTATTTTTTCAGTTGGCTTTATGCTTATTTTGACTTATTTTTTTTCATAAAAAACATTATTGAATCAGGTAAAATACCACCAACAGAACATGATGACTGTCTCTAGTTTAATTTAATTAATCTGATCTGAACGCCTCAAATCAATGAAATGTTAAACATGCATGCTGGATGGATCCGTACGTCCTTGTCTTTACGTCTTCCAACACGGAATAATCAGCTATCACCCGCGAGCGAGCCCATCGTTAGCATTACCCGCGCGCCGGATCGGATGCTACGCTACGAAGATGGGAAACCGCCGGTTTGTTTTGGTCGGAAGAAAGAAAACAACGGAACAAGCGCGTACGTCCCGTTTCTGCCCGTCGTGTGCCGCCTGCCGTTGCGACGCTGTTTCGCCACTTGCGGCAGCGGCAGTTGACCTCCGTCCAGGCGTGCACTAGCGCCTAGCGCTGCCGCCACACCAATACGTACAATGCAATGTGCTGGACTCGCCATTCTTCTTGTCGCTGTCGCTGTCGGGGCGGGCCGCATGATAACTGGCAGCTCTCAACAGTGGAATGGAGGAGTGGTCTCGGTGAGATTCCCGTGCCGTGGCCGTGGAAATAGATTGCTTGGCCATGTTAGATTGATCCTGCCAGTTTGGCCTAACGGTTAATTGGGTTTAGATTCGTGCTCTGATCAGAGCGTTTAATCCTAACTATGGTTGGTAGATCTCCGTCGCACAACGTCATAAAAAGAGAGGTAGAGGCTGGGGCACAAGGCACGAGAATCATCTACGCCGTCAGCACACCTCACCTACACCTCTAACCCTAAACCGATCTAAAGAGAGGGCGCTGCCAGCGACGGAAAGCCGCCACCACCTCTACGTCTCCGCCTCTGCACCACCGCCCTACGACCACGCCTCCACCGACACCGACACGATGGTCAACTCGTCTTCCTCGAAGATGGCCGATGGTTTGCATTTCCACACTCCTCTCTCTTTGTTTCTTGTATTAGCTTATGTTCTAAGATTTGCCATTTATCCTAAATGAAAATTATACCTGCTAGATCTACCGTTAGATGATCCTGTTAATCTATCAGGCCAAACCGGGCAATGTTGCGAGCGACCGACCGACCGAGCAGACGGGGGAGGAGGAAGAGCCTTTGCGACAGCGGCCTAACCTTTCAGAGACCGACCGGCGGCCGGTCGCGCCGTCGGTCGGTCAGCCAGAAATATCCAGATCGGTCTGCGGGGCCGCGTCGCGTGACGGCCTCTGCTTTGCCTGTGGAGGCGTGGACAAGGATCCATCCCGGCACCGGTGGCTGGCACTGCAACTGCAATGCGCCCTCGGCCTCTGCGCGCATGTTTCGGCACGTTTTCGCGGTGCTGGCCACGCGATCGCGCCACGGAAAACGACCCTTTCATTTTCTTGGCGTCGCACGCTCTAGTGCTGCAGTGCCTTGCTGATTTTCATTCAAGTGCTGGGCTTTGAACGTCGTCGTCGTCTTCGTCGAAAGCTGCTCATGGCCAATTGGTCATGGGCGAGTCGCGAGTCGGATCGGAGGACGTGTTTTCTTTTCTTTAAAAAAAAAACTTGAGTTGAACTGTTGAAGACGTGTTTTCGAGTTCGAGGTTACGGAGAACGGCTTGAAGAGACTTGACCGTTTGTCTTTTTTTTTGAGTGGACCTGGGTGCTCGTATGTACGTACGTTTGCTGCACGGTTCCGTTTGACTGACCGTACAAGTCTGTTGAAGCTATTTTGCTGGGCTGCCGCTGCTTTGGGAAACCAATCGGAAAACCAGTGATGTTGGGCTTTCATCAAGGAGCAGAGAAGAAAGTGGATCGAATAAGTTGGTGGGCTTTCGCAGCTGCAAAGATCGCAATGCAAGAAGATTACGGGTCCAGTGGGCTTTCCTGGACCAAGACAAAGCCCATGGGCTTTCCTCAAAACAAGACAAAGCCCATGGAGAGATCACTCGCCATCCATCGGCCTCTCCGGCAGGCAGACGCCACACATGTTCCTGATGAGAAACGAAGGCAATGGAATGGAACAAGACGACGCAGCACAGCACAGCACATCACGCTCTGTTCTGCTGTTGGTAGTGTCGTTTAATTTTGGAACCTGAACGCGATCGACGACGTCGCATTTTGAGGAAAAGGGGACAAAAGGGCCTCACAAAGGAGCAGTTTGAGATGCAGGAGATCAGCAAGAGCGATGCGTCACACCATCCTCCCTTTATTCCGTAGATCTCTGAATGCTTCGCTTTGTCTCGCTTTTCTCGTCCAAACCGAAGCGATCCACAGCATTCGCTCGAGGAAGATCGGATCGGGGGAGTGCTTTATTTGACAAATTTCACCGACGCGAATAAACTTTCTTTCTAATATATGCGTTAATTGTGAGCTACTCCATCCGTCCTCCAAATATTGCGGTTCTCGTTTTTTAAGAAGCCAAAAATTTAACCAAATCAATAAAAAAATTAACTAACATTAATTTATGTATCATTAGACTAATTATAGAAAAAAAATCATTGTATGTCTATTTAGACCCATAAATATTAATATAATTTCTATAAACTTAATTAAATTTAAAGAAGTTTGACATAATCCAGACTTATTAGACCTGATTTTTTTTTACGGAGGTAGTAGCACTACTTTGCTTATTGTCAAATGAAATGAATTTCCTGCAGGAAGGAAAGGCAATTGCCGACAGCATATCAGATCATTGACAGTGAGCCACGACGGTAGTAGCACTACTTTCTGATCCACGCATGTTCGTTTGATGATAAGCCATGACTGAAAGTACTGTTGGCTGATTTGTCGTGAGAGAAAAATATTATTCATTGGCTGAAAAAATATGACTTATAAGCCAAGCGAACGTGACACTAATCTAACCCGCCAAAGGCAGGCTTGACCTTTAGCTAGCACCGCATGCAAGAGGAGCATGAGCTTTATTTGCTGAACCGCGCTCACGGCACACAGCTTAACGCCGCATTCGCATGCGTTATGTCAGTCGGCTTGGTTACTCTGCACGCTCACGCGATCCAGAAAACGCCGGCTTTTACCACACGCCTCGTCGCCAGCCATACATACATACCGGATTATATATGGCGTGTTAGCGAGGCTGTTACTGGTACAGGCTCAAAACATACAGCTATACTTGTTGTTTAGTTCACTACCGGACTACGTTTTTTTTGCCACTACGTTTAGTGTTTATTAGTTAGCTGCGCTAGGATATATTACATTAATTGAAATAAACAAAATAAGTAGTAAGATAATATCTAGTTTGTTTGAATCGATTGTATACCAATTAATTTTATCATGTTAATCCCGAATCTATTTTAGATTGTGCTAATATAACTTAAAACATGCTAATTATTGTTGAATACCATATTTGCTTACTAATACGTTGTATTATTCCAAGAGTCTAGCTCTGAAGAAATGATTTTTTTTCCGGGAGCCAGATTCGCAGGCTACTTACTTTTATACAGGAGTACGATGGAAGATAGACTCAGAGTTTTGTACAGACATCCAAACGTACTGAAATTGCATCATAGATCGAGCCAGGGCATCTGTACCAAACAGGCTATAGGGGCAATAAACGTTTAGTTCCGAAAATTTTTGGCTTTTTGGCTTTTAACGGTAAACCTTTTTTTGTATTTAGTAAAAATTGAAATCTCCCACGTCCAATTATGGACCCTATTTAGGCTTAAAAATTAGTCTCCACGATTCATTTATCGGGTCATACAACTGTATAATTAGTTTTTTTCTTTTCATATTTAACGACTTATAAAAGTATATATAGATAAAAAACCCTAATAAGCGAGATTCGATGTGATGGATACTGCGTAAAAATTTTTGGATTTTGAGTGAAACTAAACGGGCCTTAAAAGAAGCTAGCGGGCCGCCGCCGGGCAACGGTAGGGCCTTTACACGTACGCGCCTCGTTGCACGCGCGGGGCGGGCCTCACGTGGACTACGCTCGTGCTGCTTCGCCTTCTTTGCTGCCCGCCGTTCACTCGCGTCACGTCTCGCATCTTGTGCAGTGGCCAACGGGCGGCGCGGCGGCCATCTCTTGTCTTGTATATATATAAATATAATAAAGGCATGGAAGGCACCCGTGTTTAATTCAGTTTCAGTTGTATCCCCTCTGCTCTGTCGCCGCTGAGACCAGCGCTGAAGAAGGCAGAGGAAGGAAGGAAGGAACAGAGGAGCAATATGGAGCTCTCTCGCAAGCTCTTCACGGCCGTCCTCCTCGTCATGCTGCTGCTCGTGGGCACAGGTACGTGCGGCGGGCTGGCTTATATATCATCTATGATCGAAGTCATCTGGTACTGATCTGAGATGGTGTTTCGGTTATACACGTGCCTGCGCATGCAGAGATCGGGCCGGTGGCGGTGGCGGAGGCGCGGACATGCCAGTCGCAGAGCCACAGGTTCCGGGGCCCCTGCGTGCGCCGGGCCAACTGCGCCAACGTCTGCAGGACCGAGGGATTCCCCGACGGCAAGTGCCGCGGCTTCCGCCGCCGCTGCTTCTGCACCACGCACTGCCGCACCTGATTCGCCTCGCCCGCCGGGCGGGGGGAGCATGCATGCATGCCCGGCGAGTGCATGCGGCGAAGTGTGTGGGCCTTAGTTCGGCTGGCCGGTGGCCGGCCGGCTGGCTGGCCAGCCCACTCACGAAATCACTGTTTTACGTGAACAGTGTTTTCGGACAGTATTTTGACTTAGTTTTGGACTTTTTTGCCAGCTGGTGTGACAATCGTTTGTTGAGTCGGTCGATCGGTCTAGTAGTGTGTGCCGCCTGTGCGTGCTTCTGTTTCCTCTGTTCTCTTAATGATGTTTCGGTTTCTCCATAGCAATGCGTTGAGATCTACTCCTAGTCTGAGAGAAAATTTCATGTTCCCCATTTCCATCAAAGACGACATGCATGGTTTGTTTGTCTGTCACTCGACCAGCAGATCAGTAGTCACGCCGGCCATCATCGGGAAAAGGAAAGATGACAGTGGAGTAGTAGAATAGAGTAGCACAAGAGACCACAGGCTGCCTTTTGGCTCCTCGTGTTATCACGTGTTGCCGCCACGGGAGATGCGTGCCGACGACACGCGGAGCCATGCATGCATGGATGCACGGACTTCTATTACTTGGCGTCGCGTGCTTGTATTGTACGGTTGTACACAACCACATGCTAGCATGTCGCGCATGAGCCATGACCCTCGCCGTCGCACCTACGTGGGCTTTTTTTTAATGGAATTCTCCTTCCATTAACCAACCACGACAGCTAAATTGCTGGACACCAAATACACAACACTGGCGCTCCGGTCATCACAAAGGGTATGCCCTCAGTACTCATACCCTCTGTGATGGCCAGAGTCCCATCAGAATCCCCTTCAGATTAACGCAGCTAATGGGCGGCAAGGCAAGAACAGAATTACTTAATCCTCTAACCAACCACCAACCAATCGAGTATCACCGCTAGAGCCTCTTTAGATTCCATGGTCTAAAGTTTAGCCATTAGTTAGCTCTTGAAGCAAACAAGTGGTAGAAAGTTCATTATCTAAAAAAGAAGTGGTAGAAAGTATCACCGATGCAAGTATATGTATATATATATATATATATATATATATATATATATATATATATATATACACACACACGAACTACAATACAGGACTGAGCTGAGCCTGAGCATGCAAAGGAAATGTCTCGCACATATATACAAAGATCCAGGAAAATTATATAAACGACAACAACAAATCCGGAATCGCTTACCAACAAAGTACACAAGCAATCAATCCTTGCCATCCCATCCCAGACTTTCATGGACAGTTTCTAGGGTGCAAAGCTACTCCCGCCGGCTCTGATGGTACAATTCACTGCTGCCAGGCCATCCCATTCCCACATGTATACACCCCAGCGAGTCGAAACAAACGCAAAGCAAACCCCCAAGAGGAGATTACAAATTATCAAATTCAGTTCATGACAGACCAAGGTCGCCAGGACCTCATTCTTGATCATAGCAAACACAGGAAATCAAAATCTCAACCTATAGTATCGATCGTCAGGCAAGAACTGACTGACTGTTTCTAGGGTGCATCCATCTCTTGTTCCGTGAGCGCAACTCTATCACCAGTCTTGCTGATGTCTTCACTGAGCAGCTTCCACAATCTACAGATTCTTCCCTTCTTTCTCCTCAATGGTCTTTGCCTTGCGATAATCCTTGTCCGTCCCAAACAACCTGAAACACAACCAATGAGCTGCTTACGTAACGGCGGAGTTCAGAGCCCCTGCACAACTCAACACAGTCATGCTACGGATCCTCACCAGTCCATGTAAACAAATGTCGAGGCATAGTTCCCTGACTTGGTGTATAGCACACGGTGATGGTAGTCATGGAAGTCCGAGCTATTCATCATGACAAAAGTTGAGCACACCGTAAGACGTTCAGCTTCAAAAAAACACAGTCCCTTTTAAGGGGGGGAAAGGAAAACAATGATCTAGCTTACTTACCCGCCATACAGTGGCAGGAAATTTGATGGGCTCCATGGGAAGTGATAGCCGCTGTGAGCTTCAACTGTCTCCAATACCCTCAACACCATCCACAGCCACAGGGTGAACAGATGAGGGCCAGTAAGAGCAGGACCAACAACTGTGGCGAATCCCAGGAACAAAATTTCAGCTGGGTGGGCATATTCAGAAGTTAAACCAAAGGGTGTGGCATACCTGCAAGGATTTGTTCTGTCATAGACTAGAAAATGTTGCAACATGTAAAGTAAGATGTAACGAAGCAATATCACTTACTCGTGGTGGACGCTGTGAACATGTTTGTATAGCCATTTCGTATGCAGTGCCCTGTGCCCCCAGTAGAATATAAAATCCTCAAGGACAAAGTAGAAAAGAACTTGAGATACAACAACCGTCCTGCAAAAAAAGTAGATTGAAATATCTAAGCCTTTCTTCTCCAACTCAAACATTGGTGCTTTCATATTTACATGCTGAGATAGTGAGATGAAGAATACTAGCAATAAGGTAACTAAAATACGTGAGGTGCTTTAGCCAGGAGAGAAGCGTGAGTGCATACCAATGTGGTAGAGGAAGAGAGCTCCTAAGACCCATGAATCTGAAGGCAGGGTACGAGAAAATCATGACAGGCAGGTTCACACAGACGTGGTACAGAATAAGACGCAAGACACATCTGTTTTGGTAAGCAGGGGTGTTGCTCTTCTTCTGCAAAGAAAAATGCACACATTTTTTTTTGTTAAGGGAACCAGATATAGTAGCAAGATAAGCATACTGCACATTGCAGATTAAATATTATATGACAATATGCGCAACAAAAATATACGACAAGACGAAAGAGACAAAGGATCAGCCATTCTTTGCTTATGGGCACTAGGAGCTTGGAACAAAATTAATAGCATGCATGTTCTGTTTCACAGGAAAATCTAGGCATTGCATTTCAGTGAAAGAACCAGAATATCTAGGGGAACAAAATATCACTCAATCTTGAAGAGAAGAGGCAGAGAAATTATTGCCAACGAAGAGCCAACCTTGGGTGTGTGTGTTTTTCTCCCCGACATGCTGTAGCATTTCTTCATTAAAAGGAAGAGAATGAAACAGTTACACCAAGTGGTAAGCCTAGACTTACCCCCTAACTAGCCCAATTGAGCCGACCTGGGTCTTAGATATGTTTTCTTAGGGAATAACTCAATTCCAATTCTAAAGGAAAGCTAAATAAGATCTGGATAGAAATTTTTTTGCGAATTAGGGAGATTCCCCATTTCCATTGCAGAGCGTCTCCAAGAGTACCCAATATTTTTATCCTAAAAACATGAAGTTTTGCAACTCCTAAAAAAGTATTGGGAGGAATATAGAAGGCCATCTCCAAGAGTTTCCAATATTTTTATCCCAAAACGTTTTTTCTACGGCACTTTTTTTTTCTGCAACCCGATCCCAGATTTATGATGTTTTGCATCAGGAACCCTGAATTTGTTTCTATACTCATTTAAGCCCTCCCACCAGATCTTTCTCTCTTGCGCTTTTCTCACCTGGAACCCTGTCTTTCCTCCTTTTCCTTTCCCACCCCCTTCTACTTCTCAGGCCCGCACGCGCGGACCAGCAATCGTGCGTATCTTTGCACACTGGGGGGGCTCAGTTTTGCAAGTGCTAAAAAATTGGGAGGTGGGTTTGGGAACTGTTGGAGAGGTGTTTTTTTTTCAATTTTGCTAAAAATCCTGTATTGGGAGGGTGTTTTGGAAACTCTTGGAGATGCTCAGCGGAAACACACTAGAGTTTAAAGATTGTTTAGAAAGAGGGACAGCATAAATATGGCATAGTGCGAACAGCTGAAACAATACTATTGCAAGGTGAGCGCTGTAAAGATCAAATCTTCAACGGTTCCCTTTCCCTTGTATAAATTGTAAAGTTTGACATCATACACTCCCATCCAAAAATATGCAAGATTAAACAGCCTTGCTGCCTCAACAGCAAAGAAAGCAACAAAGCAGCAAGCGAAAGAATTGTCCCGATTTTTTTGACCAAAAGGACCGCCACACACTGTGATGTGTGAATCAAACAAAATCGAGAAGACGTGCTAACGTGGGCAATGGGAAAGAATTCTCCCGATTTCCATTCTCCCTGTGGGGAGAAAGGGAAACTGAAAAGGAGAGGACACCGACTCTTTGTTGCAGGCTATAGAAAAGGGAAATAATGAGAAGCATCGTTTTCATCTTTCCCTGTCTTTATGGCCACTATGAGAAGCGAAAACAGTCACTGGATCCTCCTCCACAGTGGGTTAAGCAGAAGAGGAAAGTGTCATCTCAATTTGCCCAGTCCAGCCTTATCATCCCATTTATTTACTGTTTGTCCCCCCTACCCCTACTCCTACTCCTACTCTTACCCAGCAAAGTTGCTACCTTTTGATTCCTACTATTATGATTTGAGAAGACAAGAAAATCCATCCATTCACCGGATGCAGGCTAGGCGACCGATAATTGATTGGCCAAGGGGTGAATGGATCAAATCGGGCATGATACTCTTTCAGATTAGCAGCAGCAGTGGGCACTGGCAGTTTTGGGCAGTGGCTGAAAAAGAAAAAGACAAGAAAGAAGCATGGGGTACCTGGATCTTGTACTTGGCGAAGAGTCCGAAGCGCTCGAAGAGGAGGGAGGGGAGGCCGGAGAGGAAGAAGACGGTCTCGTGGAGCAGGAAGGTGACGACGGTGGCGAGCTGGAACTCGGTGAAGTTGGCGATCAGGAGCTGCATTCATTTCCGTTATGTTTGACCCGGCGAGGAAGAGCAGAAAGAGACAGAGATCTGGGGATGGGGACGGAGAGAAGAGAAAGCAGAGCAGAGGAGAACAGAGATCGATTGACACAAAGAGTGGGAGATAGAGAGGGGGAGGGGGAAACGGGAGGTGGGGTACCTGCCACGCGGACTCGATGGCGGACATGGGCGCCGCCATTATGATCGCCGGCGGCGAAGATGCGAGGAGGGGAGCGGGTGAGCCAGAGCCTGGCCTGTGGCCTGCTCTCGGAGGAGGAGGCGGAGTTGTCTAGTTCTGCAACCGGGCCCCCATCCCACGCGGACCTCAATTAAAGCCGTGGGATGGGCCCGCGAGACGGACGAAAACTATTGTCCGGGCTCGCCTCGGCACAAGCGCAAGATGCGAACCGAGCCCCCGCTGGCGCGTCTGGCATGCGGCCACTAGCCCACCACACCATGCGCCATGGATCCGCACTCCCGCACCGTCCCTTCGCTACCGTCCAGTGGGGCCGATCGGTCCACAGGCCCAGCGTAGACCGGTTCCACGCCCCCGCGCGACCCACCTACTTCTCCAAGCCACTCTCCCTCTCCCAGTCTCCCTCCCCGTCGCATCTCAGTCGCCGCCGCACGTACAAATACGCGACGGGAACGGTCAGGGCCGAACCCTAAACCCCCGCCTCCGCCTCCGCTGCATCCCATGGCGGCCGTGCAGCGACTCCTCCGGGCAGCCGCCTCCGGTGGTTCGGCGATGGCGGCGGCGGCGGCCAGGAGACGCATGACGTCGCTAGCGACGGAGCAGGCGCCGTCTGCGGCCGCCGGGTTCTCGTTCGCGGCGGAGGAGAGGGTCAGGCGGCGGCCGATGGCGGAGAGGAACGTGCAGTGGGTGTTCCTGGGCTGCCCGGGCGTGGGCAAGGGCACCTACGCGAGCCGCCTGTCGCGCCTCCTCGGCGTGCCCCACATCGCGACGGGGGACCTTGTTCGCGACGAGCTCGCCTCCACCGGGCCACTTGCTGCTCAGGTGAGAGTGAGACACCTCTCCGTACCTCCAGGGTCCAGATCGGCCCCGTTCTGGTCTGCGCTGATCTGGATTTCGTTTGTAGTCGTGTGGATCAGCGACATGGTTGAGCTTATTTAACTAGAGATTTGAGGTCGCCTTGGGGTATCGAGTGTGGATCAGTACGCGAAATGCTTTAGATACGGAAAAAAAGAGAGAGAGATATGGTTTTGGTTCGAGTGGCAGTCAAATTGTTGATAGATCTGAACATCACTGCCTGAAATTTGACTCGCCTAGTGTTTGTGAGTCGTGGATGCCTTGATGTGATCATTTTGCTTTACTTGCAGGCTTCAGCTCAATCTTGTTACTGAATCTGACCCCATGTTTTTTTTTTTGGCATCATAGTCTGAGGTCTATTCAGATAACCATGTCATATTAGAGCCGTTAAGGGACTATAGTTGCTTCCCCTGTGCAATAGTGTTTTGCTGGACGACTTGTACTAACATTACACATGGCTGTTCGCATAGTGGTGTTTTTGCTGGAAGAGTGTAGCAATTCACTAATAAACTTGCCTTGATTATGGTTTGGCTGCAAGTGTGTGGCTACTTTTATTGTAAATTTGCCATGTTCAGTTCATGCTTTGCTTACTATTAGATTGCAAAGCTCTCACTACTGCTCCATTTAAAAACTTAATGTAAATGAGTATATTCATATTTCATTGATTCCATGCCTGTACGGGTTGGTATCTGATTATCCTTTCATATTTTTTCACTTTGAAACTGTTGTGATAGTTTTTTATTATCTTTGCAGCTTGCTGAAATTGTTAATCAGGGGAAATTGGTTTCTGATGAAATTATCTTCAATCTTTTGTCCAAAAGGCTTAAGAAAGGAGAAGACCAGGGAGAATCAGGATTTATTCTTGATGGTTTTCCCCGTACAGTAAAACAAGCGGTGAGAATCTTTAGCATGTCGTGAACACTCCCTTCTAGTTTGTTCCTTTTACTAGCAATTGAACTTGATATTCTGGTCACTTTTGAATGTTCAATGTTTTTCTTCCAACTTGGTTATGCTATTTGATGTGAATGTGATATACTAATCAAATAGTTCACATGTTTCTCAGTTTCTGCTGCCATTGAATCAGTTCTTCCTAGTCTGTTCCTTTTAGTTCACATGTGTCTCCTGAACGTTCAATGTTTTATTGCTGTTTGGTAATGATGTGGGTAATGCAATGCAGTGCCATCCATATAGTTCACATATTCCTATTCCCCCTTAAACTAGTGTGGCACTGTGATAGCCTGTGCTCTTTCTGTTGCAGTATATGGTTAGTTAGTTTTTTTAAGTATAATGCTTGTGATTATTGTGCCTCCTGCAGGAATGTTAACTTACTCTCCGGTGCAGATTTAAACATTTTTGCCGCCATTGTTTCTATTTTAACTAATTGATAATTGATACTGGTGCAATATGTCGTTAGCAGTTGTCAGAGACCTGTTCATGCATGCACTTGATCGTGGTGGTCTGAACTAACTATTTCTCTGTCTTTCCAGGAAATTCTTGATGGCGTTACAGACATTGATATGGTGGTTAATCTAAAACTAAGAGAAGATGTTCTAGTAGAGAAGTGCCTCGGCAGAAGGATTTGTGGCCAATGTGGAAAGAACTTCAATTTGGCATGCATTGATGTTAAGGGTGAAAATGGACTACCAGCAATCTACATGGAACCACTGTTGCCCCCAAACAACTGCATGTCAAAGCTTATTACCCGAGCTGATGATACTGAAGAGGTGGTCCGAAATCGGCTTCGGATATATAATGACATGGTATTGTCCTATTAATACTGTTGTATCATTCATAATAAAATGTGTAACGTATTCTCATTAAGCAATGAATATGCAGTGCTGGTTGATTTATTTTGTTTCTGCGAGATTTACAATTTTACATGCAATTTGAACTCCTGAGACCAGTATTCTTTTTTGTTTTGTGTCATTTGCATTTTTCAAGATGTTCAAATCTACTCCCTCCGTCCCAAAATAAGTCTCCATCTCGCATTTCAAGGAGTCAACCAATCTTAATTTTGACTATATATTAGGGTTTACTGTGAAAAATATATGACGCGATTAATCTAATGATACTTATCTGGTATCACAAATATTAGTATTTTTCACAATACATTTGGTTTAAATTGTTTGACTACTCCAAATGCAAGACGGAGACTTATGTTGGGATGGAGGGAGTATATATAGATAGCTGTAGAGTCCTTGCCTTGCATGAGACAAGATCCAGTGTTGCCTTGCTCTCTTAAGCATACATTACATTTGATTCTGATTCCTCGAGGATACTTTGTATTGTGTAGATTTGGTTCATCACAGCACTGTTCTGGTAGGCGTGCTGAAACTGCACAGAACTCGGGATTTGATACTTAACATTTGGTTTCCTGACCTTTGCAGAGTCAACCTGTGGAAGGTTTCTACCGGGAGCAGGGGAAGCTCTTGGAATTTGACTTGCCCGGAGGGATCCCTGAATCTTGGCCAAAGCTGCTCCAGGTTCTAAACCTCGAGGACCAAGAGGAGTTGAAGCTGGCTGCAGCATAGGTCTCTGGGAGGCCTACATACTCGGAAAAAAAAAGACCATACCACATTTTTTTTAATAATGGAGAAGAGGAAACTTACTCCATAATTTAGTGCCTTTTGCAGAAGTAATGGTTTTCTTGTCAAAAGCGAGTTGTTGGTTTTCACCAGCGTTTTGATGAGCCGGTACTATGTAACGTTGACGTTAGTTTTAAGCAGTACCCCATTTTTGCTTGGGACCCAGTTTGGAGCGCATGAAGACATGCTGTAGTGCAATTCATTCATAACAAACTTGTAGTAGATGAGAGGCTCTTTTCCGTGTTGCGTGACTTAATGCTCCCATATGTGTGCCCATATATGTGTTCATGATAAAGCACTGAAGTAGTATGATACAGAATAACAGACCTTATGAGAGTACCTTTATGTGTCCATGTTAAAGCACTGAAGTAACAGCAACGCCCTGGGTGTTGCTCTGATCGGATGCGGGTTGTTGTTGGCAATCTCCTTCATGGTCATAAAAATCTCTTAGGCATATAGACAACATTTTTTTTTCACTGCAGAGGTATTGTCTATTATTATATTATATATATACGTGTCTATTGTCATTCAGCAATTAGACACGTATTGTCATTCAGCAATTAGATGCTCTCTAAACTGTTTCCAGACAATTCATTCAGGTGTCATTGTATTATCTGTTCACCGACATGAAATCATCTTAACCACTGTACATGCCCTGCCCCACCACCACCAGAGGTGCTCTCTCACAGGCGAAAACAGACGCAGATCTGGCAATGAGAGTTATGGCTACTTTTACACTGAAGGTTGAGGCGAAAACAGAAGCAGATCTAGCTTCCAAAAGTCATGCACGAAGCAAAAGAAGCTACATCGAGTTATGGCAAAAACAACACGGCAGAGAAATTTGGGACTCCACCCAGACACTGATTCTAAAATAGCGATAGTACAAACAAGGTCTGGCAATGAGAGTGCGACACAATGCTGAAACTTTTCCCGCTTTGCTCAAGTAAGTATCGAACCAACACTTGGTACACCATAGCATACGTAAGTACAATATTTCCTGCTATACCATAGGAACGTAAGTACAATCAAGGAAATAATAGGTTATGAGGAGTTGTTTCATACACATAAACTATATAAACAAAGACAGACTTGGCGTAATTTACAATATACAGAAAAATGTTTACAAAAACAAAGATATAACCCAAACCCGTCCACTTTGTACGTGAGATGGACTGGAAAATTGCACACAAGAAAAATTTCAGAAATGTCAAGCAAAAAAAAATATCCATGTTACGCCAGAGTACGCTCAAAGAATCTGAACCTTGTATTGACAAATCAACTCACAAGACACAAAACCCTAATCAGAACTTGGGTGGAGACCGGCTTCCAGATGCTTTAAAAGGTCCACTTGAACCGAATGGATCAGCATCATCAAAAGAGTCAAACCGGCCAAAATTTCGTGAGCTATTCCCTGTATCGAATCCTGATACATTCTCTCCTTTCGAGCTGCTAATGGAGTCAAACCTGGAGAAACGACTTTCCTGAGGGAAGAATCCAGTGTCTTGGGATCTGAAGGAATCAAACCTCCCAAAGTTATAAGAGGAGCTATCATCACGGCTTTCACCGAATTTTGGAGAGAATCCAGATGTGTATGCAGGAGAACTGGGAACAGAATCATCAAAGAATGAACTCCTCTTCTTTCCAAATACACTAGCGCCACTTGGAGAGCCTGCCTCGGACCCAAAGAAAGAGTTATGTGTGCCACCATGTTGGTCAGCCTCCTGTATTAAAACAGTTCATTAGAAACAGTAGGGAGAGATATACCACCCGTATATCAGAACAAGAAACAAGAAACTGCATAGCTCACAGTGTTCAGTGCAGTAGAACCCCAAACAGAGTCAGTATCTTGATCATCAAAGTTCCAAGAAGTTTCATCAGCAAACTTGTCACCAAAAACAGATTCAGAACCACCATGGTCACTGCATCAAAATAATAAGAGAGTTATTCTCATATGGGACACGAATATCCAGCACCTTTTTGAGAGAGAGCTATAAGTGTATGCAGTACAAACTATTCCAACATCTTTTGAGAGGGCTATAAGTGTATGCAGTACAAACTACGGCAACATGCTCTAAGCGCCAGGGTCAGAAATTAGGATGCACATAAACCCAAGGCTGAAACAAGTACCTGTAACTTTCTCTTTTGCTGGGAGATGAATCATGCATCCCAAAGCGGGAAGATTTAAATGGACTCCCTGAGGCACTTCTTCCAGCACTGCCAGGACTCCTCACAGATTCATCACCAAAATCATATGCAATTTCACTCTCAGCCACTTGATCACCTCCACTGTAACGCCTTTCTTCCTTGATATGACCATTCGAGGATGCAACAGGAGACATATCATCACCATCATCCCAAAGAGATGGCACTTTTCCATTTTCAGCAGAAACTGGGTTTTCCTGTATTGTACCATTATCCTTAACAATACTAAACCCTGTCATGTCATATGATTCCATCAAGAATATGATAAGATTAAATTGGAAATGAGAGGAAAAAGGTTATCCCAAGTGTAAGACACAAAATTAACAATAGCTCATGTCGTCAAAATCTATGTACAGTATATACCACACGAACAATGTTCTAACAACAGAAGGTAAGGGCATGTTTAGTTTCCAAAAAATTTTACGCAGTACCTATTACATCGAATCTTACGGCACATGCATGGAGTACTAAATGTAGACGAAAAAAAAAACTAATTACACAGTTGGGTGAGAAATCGCGAGACGAAACTTTCGAACCTAATTAGTCCATAATTAGACACTAATTACCAAATACAAACAAAAGTGCTACAGTAGCAAAAACCCAAAAAAATTTGCATCTAAACGCGCCCTAACTAGAACAGAGGCTGTGGCTTTGGTAAGTTCAATGAAAGGAACCTAAACAAGGATATCATAGCAAAAGAATTTTATCTGCATAAATGACACTAATGAATTATATCAGCTACACAAATATCAGGCTTAGAAACAGTCAAGGTTGCTTATTTCAGGATATGGCTTTGCTAGTATATGTTAACAGGTGTAAGAGATATGAAATCTTTGTATAAAGGGCAGCCCCAGAGCACGTAGCTCCTGCTTGCGCAGGGTCAGGGGAAGGGTCCGACCACTTGGGTCTTTTGTACACGGCCTTTCCCTGCATTTCTGCAAGAGACTATATGAAATCTTTGTATAAAAAAAAGGGCGTACCCAGTGCAGAGAGCTCCCGCTCTGTGCGGGGTCTGGGTGTATCTCTTTCACAAATGTTTTTTTAAACAGTAGCATGACAAGCACTGGATTGCAAAACTCAGCCTACAGCCATGCAGAGTACTCCGATATATAAACAGACAATGACTAAAAGTAATCATACAGAGGGGAATGCAATGGAAGTATTTAACCTTCATCTTCAAATTTATCCCAGTCTTCATCCCACTCAATGAGTCCCTCTTGAGGCCCAGGTTCCCAACCTATAACAAATACATAAACAATCAGGATGTGCAAATTATGAGTCTGAAGGTTGCAGGAAGTAAAATAAAATGATAACATGCAATTTGATCGCTAGTATCATAAAGATAGCATGAAGTTGGACTCTCAAGAATACTAAAATAAATAATAATATGAAGATGGAAAGCCAGGTACCGGAAGGAAGCTCAACTGATGCGGATGATTTGAATTGAAGTCCAAAGTGTTTGCACCGTTCACTAAGAGCCTTTTCCATCTCTTCTAATTGATATTGGATTCGATCGGCTCGAACCTAGGAAATCGCCAGTGTTATTGAGAGATTAAAAAATAAGTACCTAGCAAAGTAACAGTGTACCTGAAGCAAACCATCAACGCTTCCACCTTGTACCATTTTAATCAACGCATCATGCAGCTCAACTTTTCTCTCCTAAAAAAATCAATAAAGAACAAAGTCCAGTTTAAGACACAAATCCATCAAGAGAGCATAAATCAAGAAGGATGAAATGAATGTGAAACTAATGACAAGATCACAAATATTATGATAGTGAGACTGATGATAAGATCATAAAAAAAAAAATTACTCCCTCCAGCCACAGATAAGCAGCGTTTGAGATTCTGTTAAGCCAACCATTTCAAACTTTCATCCAAGACAAAAAAAAAAAAGTAAATAAAATCTCTTCTTTCAAAGCATTTAATTAGAAGAGGGGGAAGGGGGGGTAAATAGTGCAAACATCGCAATAGTATCCTCAATGGTCAAACAACATCAAGTATATTCCCCCCAGGACCTTGGACAAACAAAACAAAATGGAGGGAGTACTTTTTATGTCAAGTATGAATACTTAAAAATGATATGAGTATGTGTTTCAAAATATAGTTTCCCAAAAGCAATTTTTTTCCTAAGTTTTATAAACATTTTTTAACAAAAAAAAAGTACTATTCAAATTTGTGTTCTGAGACCGTGCGGATGTCCAGACCATCATTTATTTGTGACTGGAGGGAGTATATGAACACTAGTTTCTATCTATTTTTCTAAGGTGTAGAAAAGACAAACCTGAACATCACGATATGCAGCTTCTTCAACTGCTAGTTTGGAAGCTAACTCAGCTACTTGCTTGTACTTCTCTTCATATTTCTTAGCCAATGATTCCACCTGACACAAACCACAGTAAATTTGCTGGGGAAAATAAACAAAAGCTCAAACATGAATTTGCACCTCCCCAAGAATTTAGCAGTAAAAAAGGCTCATATAAGAAACTACAATGCTGGTCAACATAATGCAAGAAGCAATGTTCTGTACAATTAATTTGTGTGCCTCTGAGAATTTATCATCAAACAACAGATCAAAAGGAACAACTAGCCACCTACAATGATGGTCTACATCACGTAATAAGTAGTGTTCTGTACCTCACGTTTATCAGAGGACGCCCTTTCTGTAATCTCATTCAGCCTATTGTCACACCGACTTTTATACAAGACCTTCAAGAAAATGAAAATAAAGGAATTAGAAAAATGATGAAAACAACTTTCAATTACAATGTCCAGTGACTTAACTACACCCAATTTGTAATTGTGCTTACAAGATCTTGCATCTTTGTGCGGTAATACTCCAGTTTCTCTCTAGAATCCAGGACCTGCTTCTCCACCTCAACCTTCAGTGTAAACGAGAGAGAAGGTTGAATTAAAAGAGAAATGTGTTTTGCAAGCACATAAGCGTTTACCCTATAATACAGAATCAAAAGCATAATTTGCATAAAACACATACAAAACTTCTACTAACAATTACTCTATTAATATATCATTTTTGTGGCACCAAATCTTGATCATAAGTACTTTTGAACATGAAACTAAGAACACAACATTTTTTAAATATCAGCAAGTTGTATATGAGTATATATTAATAAAGTTTTTGTTGTGTTATTAACCTTTGATGTTCGAGTGTATGACTAGTCCCTTAGGGATAACAGAAATATATAGAGAATTCCTCATGGATGATATAGGCCTTGACATACTTAGCAAGTTAGCATTTGTCAGTCAAAGATCTGTCCACAACAACAACAAAGCCTTTAAGTCCCAAACAAGTTGGGGTAGGCTAGAGTTGAAACCCAGCAGAAGCAATCAAGGTTCAGGCACGTGAATAGCTGTTTTCCAAGCACTCCTATCTAAGGCTAAGTCTTTGGGTATGTTCCATCCTTTCAAGTCCAAAGAAACCAAAATATGATTTACATTTTTGGATAGAGGGAGTATGCAATGATTGCAACGATGGGAACAACTCAGCAAGCTGTTAATGCCATTCAAAAGGCAGTTGCTTGGAAATGAGGAAAAGGCTACCCAAAACAGTCAACTATAAAAAATGTTATAAACAGTCTCAGTAAAAAAATGGCAGGAGCATAATTAAATTGATACGCATGCCTTGGAAATTTGTATCGCACAAAAGCACCACACTACAAAGGCTGTGTCATCAAAATCACTATTCGACATGCATGCATTGCCAATGCAGAGCTCTGACTGAGATTAGGGGAGGGGTGGCATGGGGTGGGCGGTGGGCAACGAGGTCATCACAGTACGGGGGCGGTGGACAAGGCAGCGGCTGTTGAGTTCTCCATGCCCCGCAGCTGTTAGGGTTTTGGAGAAGGGTCTCCATGCACGGCGGCCTTAGAAGGGGGAGCAGCTCGGGGGCGGTGGTGGCGGGTTTAGGGGCGGCGGGGGACATCCGGTTGGGCAGAGTCGGCGGTGAGGGACATCCGGTTAGGGAAGGGCCGGGAAGGATCAGTGAGGATGGGCGGAAGGTGGGGAGGTCGGCAGCGGCTAGGGCGGTGGTCGAGGTGGTGGACTGAGGAGGAAGATAGGTGCAGGGGGGAGAGAGAGAGAGAGAGAGAGGAGGAAGATGGGTTTGGAGAAAGGAGAGAGGAGAGAAGAAATCGTGTGCCGGTACCTCTCCCTACGCACATGCGCTGATTAAGAGGGTCGTTGCATCATGAACTAATGTGATAGGGTGACACAAGTGAAAAGTGATAAGAACTAAATACTCCCTTCGTTCCAAATTATAAGTCGCTTTGACTTTTTTGGTTCATCCATTTTGCTATGTATCTAGACATATTATTATATCTAGATGCATAGCAAAATGGATGTACCAAAAAAGTCAAAGCGACTTATAATTTGGAACGGAGGGAGTATGTACCTATCGACATCAAGCTCATTCATAACAGATGTTGGTAGGCATATTCTTCTAGAAATATTTAGGTTTGAAGTTTATATTGTATTGATTGTTTGAAGCATTCAACAGATCAACAATCCTGGTTACAGGTGACCATGACCCATTGAGAGGGGAAAAATCAAATATACAGAAGGCACAGCTCAGGTTGCGTTAAACCAGTCCGGACATGACACACATAATGACCCACACTTCAAATCCAGATCCCACCTATCCAAGACACAGACATGAAGCTCTTCTAACGCATGGCTATACAGGCTAAACTAATTTAAAGGTGCATAAACTGGGTGAATTGAACACCACAGAGCCAGCCTGATCAAAATGGAACAGGAGTTGCAAAATGATCACCACTGGACAATTCAGGAAACAAGGATGGGGTCAACATACCTTCTTAGGAGCATCCACCACCTCCTGCACAGCCTGGTTCACTCCACTTTTGTCATCTTTGTTTCCTTGATTTACTACATGATTATCCATCCCAGGCATGTGAGATCTTGGTTGCCCTGGTCTGCTAGCTCCATCAGTTTGTGAATGCAAATGTGGTGGCAAGGGTGGCCGCACAACACCAGCAGGCACCCCAGGTGCTCCAGGGCCTCTTTGTGGTAATCCTCCTGACCCAAAATAAATTAGCTTGTGAGCAACAGACAAAAACAGGATGTCTTTATGCTTGGCTATGCCATTATAATTGCAAACCAGATGACAAGCAAAGTATTACCTTGATTCTGTTGCCATGATGGCCCATTGTATGCTGTTGAAGGCAAGCCTGTAGCTCGTAACAGTGTCTCATCATGCCTAAGAGAGTCAGGAAGTGCCGGGGGAAGAGGAGTTCCAGCTCGGTGCCTCTCCATTAAATAAAGAGCAATGCAAAACTCTCTCAAAGAAAGCATGCCATCATTGTCTTGGTCAGACAAATCCCACACTTGCTTCAGGACCTCTGAAACGGTTAAAAGAACACATGCATTAGCCAATAGGTATTTCATACTATGAGATATGTTTAGTGATCATAAAAAAAGAACCACAGGGGTGGAAAAAAGCTATAATGCTAACCAGCAATTTTAACAGTACGATAACATAGACTGAATCTAAGTTTGGAACAAAAACCTAAGTAAATGATAAATTTCATGATTAGGGTAGTGGAAAGTTGGTGATGATATCCCACCTCTTGGAAGCCTCCAACTGAGGAACAGAGTGCGAGCTTCTGCGCCAGTTATTTTGCCATCTCTGTCCCTATCAACATCCCCAAAGACTTTCATGTACTTCTGGATGTCAGATTGAGTAATTTTCGGCCATTGGGGAGCTGAATTAGAAATCCCAGCAGAGACAACAGGTGCAGTTGGAGCAGGACTGGGATTTACGACAGGCTGAGTCTGTTGAGGTTGGCTGCTACCTTGCAAAGAACCAAACTGTGCGAGATTAGTCAGGTTCTGGGAGCCAGTTGGCGTGGGCATAAAACTGGATGAGCTCGGAATCGAGCTTGTCTGAGGTGCAGGTGCAGATACGCTTGGCTTCGGCTGTGTAAGTGCAGAGAAGATGTCCGTGCTTGATCCAGAGCTGCTGGCAGGGCCATTTCCAGACAGTACCAAAGCTTTTGAATCCTGAGGCAACACAGCACTGTTGCTCTGCGGAGGCAATGGCGATGAAGACATTGCTTGTACCTGTTGTCCAGGTGCCATGCCTATTGTGCTAGGTAAACCTGGGCCAAATCCACCTCGTGTTGTCTGTGAAGGAGCAGCTCCTGGTATAGCTTGTGGAATGCCTCCCACTGAGGCAGCATTACCGCCTTGCCAACCGACAGATCCTCCCATGCTACCTCCACCGACCAAACCTTGATTGATTCCAGGCGCTTGAGCTTGAAATGAAGTTGCTGGAGCTCCAATTTGTGGTGGCCGCATGAAACCAGTACTAGAAGGTTGCTGTTGAGTAATTCCCAGATTAGGAGGCTGCGGCTGCATTGCCCTTGGTCCAGCAAATTGACTTGCTTGAAGAGCACCACCCTGACTCGCAGCTGGCATCATAGAACTGATCCCTTGGGGCCTTGGAGCAGCACCAGGGTTCACCTGCGGCATGCTAACTTGACTAGATGTCGGCATCATGCCGCTTCCCTGGGGCCTTGGTGTGGCAGCCGGATTCATCTGAGCCGTTCCAACCTGCCCTGGTGTGGGTGTCATCGCAGCACTCCCTTGAGGCCTAGGCGCCCCCGCAGCACCCATCTGTGCAGGAGCCGGCCCCGCGGCTATCTTGGGAGCTGGAATTCGAGCCGCAGCGGGACCATAGAGCGCCGACTGCACTATGTCGGGCGTGAGCTGACGCCCGCTCTGCGCCACGGTGACCAGGCGCAGCGCGTTGAAGAATTCCGGGCGGCCGAGGAAGCCAGTCTTGTTCTGATCGGCGTGCATCCATACCTGCGCCCATCCCAAAAACACTCAACTCATTCGAATTCGCGGAGCAAGGGATCTAGTATGATTCACCGCTATCACACCTAAAATTGGACGCTCAAGTGTGCGAATGCGCGAATCGAAGGAAGGGTTTAAGGAGGGCACCTGGGCGAGGACTTGCTGCGGCAGGTTGGCGCCCTGGAAGAAGGCGACGGCCTCCTGACCGCTGATGCGGCCGTCCTGGTTCAAATCCGCGCGACGGAAGTATGCCTCGAAGGCCTCCGTCCCCGCCATCTCCGGGATCCGAGAGGGAGATCACGGCGGCGGGGGTGCGGCTTGGTGGATCTGCCAAGTCGGGCGGTGGAGATCTCGGGGGAGCGTGTCGCGGCGGGGCTGCAGGTGCAGGAGGCCCAGTGGTTGGGTTCTCCCCGCTGTCGTCGGTCGAGGTGACGAGCGGGCAAATTTCTCAATTGTCCCCTTCGAGTTCTCAGTTTTTTTTTAGCCGCTAAAGAATAAGGGAAAATTAAATATTTGCCATCCTTCTGGTTAGTTGCCAGCTTTAGAATGGCAATTAAAGACTTGCCACCTGAAGAGTGTATGGTACTTCATTTTTTGCGTCGTGGCAGATCAGCCTGCCACGGTGGATCGGGCAGGGGGGAAGACATCCCTGCCCCTGGCACGTTTATGCTCTGAGCCCGGCCCCATCGGTCTGCTCGTCCCCGTTCATTCCCCATCGTCACCCTCCTCTTCCCCGTTCCCCTCTCCCGAGCTGAGCTCCATGGCGACCGCGACGGCGATGTTCGAATCCGGCAACGACGGTGGCCCCTGCTCGTTCGAACCGGACGAATGTGCAGTTCCCCAGGCGCTCCGAACGCTAGGCAGGTTAGTGAGGCCATTCCCCCCTTTCTTATGCCGAACTAGGGTTAGGGTTCCACGGCGATTTGTCCTGCAATCTGCGTATTTTGCTTGAACTCGTCCCGTTTCTTTGTTGTTCATTCGTAGGCGGGTGATGTAGTTGGCGCTGGTTCCGGATCTATGACCATGGATCCCCACCTGGACGGCTGCCCCCCTTGGTAAGTCCTGCTCTTTCCCTTCCACTTCAGGTAACAGATTGTCTGCAGTCGGGAAATTGTCTAACTGTGGAATGTTTTTATGTTCACATTCATGCCAGGATCGAACCTGGCAATGTGTTTAGATTAGTTCTTAAGATTGCTAAGTACACCGCTGATGTTGAATATGGTCTGGTAGAAATGGTTGATGAAAGCTCTAGTTTAGTTTTGGTAAATTGATAAAACCCCAAGTGCTAACCTAGTATATCTAAGTGATCATGAGATAGGTAGCATATTCTAAGTAATGGAGCAAGTAGTGAAGATCATGATGATGGTGTGACTAAATATTTGCCATCCTTCTGGTTGGCACTCCATCAGTTGCCAGTTTTAGAATGACAATTCAAGATTTGCCACCTGAACAGTGTACGGTGCTTCATTTTTGTCATTTTTTTGCGTCGTGGCAGTCCAGATTAGCCTGCCACGGTGGATCAGGTAGGGAAAAGACATCCCTGCCCCTGGCTCGTTTATGCCTTGAGCCCAACCCCATCGGTCAGCTCGTCCCTGTTCATTCTCCACCATCACCCTCCTCTTCCCCGTTCCCCTCTCCCGAGGTGAGCTCCGTGGCGACGGCGACGGCGACGATCAAATCTGGCAACGACGGTGGCCCCTACTCGTTCAAACCAGACGGATGTGCAGTTCCCCAAGCACTCCAAACGCTAGGCAGGTTAGTGAGGCCATTCCCCCCTTTCTTATGCCAAACTAGGGTTAGGGTTCCACAGTGATTTGTCCTGCAATCTACGTATTTTGCTTGAACTCGTCCCGTTTCTTTGTTGTTCATTCGTAGGCGGGTGATGTAGTTGGCGCTGGTTTCGGATCTGTGACCATGGATCCCCACTTGGACAGCTGCCCCCCTTGGTAAGTCCTGCTCTTTCCCTTCCACTTCAGGTAACAGATTGTCTGCAGTCGGGAAATTGTCTAACTGTGGAATGTTTTTATGTTCACATTCATGCTAGGATCGAACCTGGCAATGTGTTTAGATTAGTTCTTAAGATTGCTAAGTACACCGCTGATGTTGAATATGGTCTGGTAGAAATGGTTGATGAAAGCTCTAGTTTGGTTTTGGTGAATTGATGAAACCCTAAGTGTTAACCTAGTATATCTAAGTGATCATGAGATAGGTAGCACATTCCAAGTAATGGAACAAGTGGTGAAGATCATGATGATGGTGTGAGCATGGTGATGATCAAGTGCTCGGCTTGGAAAAGAAGAAAGAGAAAAACAAGAAGCTCAAGGCAAAGGTGAAATTTGATAGGAGCTTTTTGGTTTAGTGATCGAGACACTTAGCGAGTGTGATCACATTTAGGATCGATAGCCGTATTATTAAGAGGGGTGAAACTCGTACCAAAATACAGTTATCAAAGTGCCACTAGATGCTCTAACTCATTGCATATGCATTTAGATCTAGTGGAGTGCTAACACCCTTGAAAATATTTGTGAAAATATGCTAACACATGTGCACAAGGTGATACACTTGGTGGTTGGCATATTTGAGCAAGGGTGGAGAAGTTGGTGAAGTGAAGGAGGTGTTTTTCACTGTCAAACGGTGACCGGACTCAAGGTTCTAGCGTTCGGTCAAATATAAAATCGTTGCACGCTCGGGCTCGGTCTGGTGGTTGACCGGACGCTGCACAGTCTTTTGTGACCGAATGCGCAGGACCTGTGTCCGGTCACAGATGACATACGTTGACGCAAGCATCAAAGCGAGGTAGTGGTGACCGGACTCACCGGCGCGTCCGGTCATACGTGACCTGACGTGTCCGGTCGCGATTTTGTCTCTCTGGATGCTTACTAGAAGTGACCGAACTTCAGGCAAGGGTGCGTCCGATCATCTCTGTAGTGCGTCCGGTCGTGACTTAAAGCGCGCGGGAACGGCTACTAGCCGCTGGCATCACGTGGCTGGCATTTAAAGCAGGGGACACATGGCACAAATCCAAGGACCAGACGCTGGGGTCCTGCGTCCGGTCGACTTGATCGGTGTGTCCGATCATGTCATGGAAGCTGACAGCAAAGAGCCAACGGCTCTATTTCAAGGGAACGCCTATATAAGGCGTTTGGCTGGCTCTAGCTCACTCTCTTGGTCATTTGCATTGATATAGCAACCTTGTAAGCTTAGCCAAAGCCCTCCCACTCATCTCCATCATAGATTCATCATCTTTGTGAGATTGGGAGTGAATCCAAGTGCATTGCTTGAGTGATTGCATCTAGAGACACTTGATGTTCGTGTTTCGCTACGTGATTTGCTTGTTACTCTTAGTGGTTGTGGCCACCTAGATAGCTTGGTGTAGCGAGGATCATCGAGCGGAGGAAGGTGTTTGTCTCCGGCTCCGATCGTGGTGATTGTGAGGGGTTCTTGACCTTTCTTTGGTGGAGAGCCAAAATGTAATCTAGTGGATGCTCGTGGCTTGTGTGATCCTTATCTTGTGTTGGTTGTGTGGCACCCTATTGAGGGTTTAGCGTGTGATGCTAATTAGCGCGTGAACCTCCAAGTGAGTGAATCGCCACAATGAGGACTAGCTTACCGGCAAGCCAGTGAACCTCAGTAAAAAATCTTATGTCATCTTGTCCGAGGATTTTTTGTATTCATTGTGATTGATTGGCTCCATCATTGTAATTGGCTCAATTCCTCTACACGGCGGTATAATCATTACATTCCCTACCTTATATTTACATTTCTAGTGTTGCTTCACTCTTTAGTGTAATTAGTTTTGAGAGCAAGCTTGTGTAGGGTCTAGTGGTTAGTGTGGATGTTTAGTTAGTTTTTGAGAGCACACTAACTTAGTGTAGTGATATAGTCATTGTGTGCTTAGAGATCATAGACACTAGAATTATGGTAGGTGACTTGCATTTTAGTAGGCTAGCGTAACTCTCGCTTTGCCGTTTGATTGTCTAACATCTTTGCTAAGTGTTGTTGTAGAAATTTTTAATAGGCTATTCATCCCCCCTCTAGCCATTAGGACCTTTTAATTGACCAAGAGCACGAGCTGTGGCTGGATAGGAGTCTTGGATATAGTCTAGCTCAGTTCTATGAGGATATGGCTACAAAGATTATATGGGAACCTAGCCAGACATTGGCAATCTGGGTTTTGGACAGTGATACTGGCTCTGAATGGAAAATTAGAAGGGATGATCAATGGCAGCAAACGATAGAGGAGAAATGGGATGAAAGGATGGCACACATTGCTGTGGAGGTTGCTACCAAAGCTGGATATGAGAATAGAGAGAGTTCAGTGGCATATAAGGTTAGCAACACTATTAATCCTGCTAGATTTGGTGTTACCACTGCCAATGCTGATGGGGCTTCGTCTACTAGAACTAATGCAGAAGGCATTGCTGATACATGTTTCTCGCCGCCACAAGATGGTGATGAGCCAGTTTCAGTAGACTAGGCTACACTAACCATCATAGCAGAAGAAGCTGAGGATGGTGAGGCCAATGCAATAACTGACGAGGAAGTAGTCTATGAGGCAATGGGTTTCAAAGTAGCTGATGAGAGGGCTGAGGAAGCTGCTAGAGAGGAAATTCCCATCCTAGCCATGACTAGTGAGCTTCAAGGAGAGATGGATGAGGCTGCAATTCCTGTTGGTGACACAGATGGTGCTGAGCCTATTAATGACTGTGATAGAGACAATCCTGATATGTCAGTTGGCACACACTATCTCTGTATGTAGGACTTTAGGTTGGCAGTAAAACATCATGCTATTGTCAATGAATTTGAGCTTGGGACTGAGAAGTCTAACAAAAAGAGGTTCAGGGGATTCTACAAAGCAGCAAGATGCCCATGGATTATTAGAGTTAGGACTCAGCATGATAAGAGTGACAGGGTACTGTTTTGAACTAACTGTTTGTTCTTTCACAATGTATTTATTTGTTGTGCACTTGTTTATTTAACTGAGAAGGTTTCTTACACTCTATGTTTTGTTGTGCAAATTCAGATCAACAGTCTTGTTCACAACTGTCCATCTAGAGCAAGGGTTGTTGGTAGGATGGCCTCTATTAATTGGGTATTAGAGAGGGCTATTCCTCTACTCAAAAGAAAGCCAACAACGGGTGCTAGTGCAGTTAAGGAGGAACTTGAGGACAAGTACAAGATCAATATCAACTACCAAACTATGTGGTATGGGAGACATTGGGCAGTAGACAAGCTATTTGGTAAGTGGTCTGATTATTATGATTGGTTGTATAGAT